TATTATATGTGCTCACATCTACGTGAGTTAACGAACTTCAGTTGAATCCAAATAAATAAATTTTAAAAATTTAAACATATTTTATATATTAATCCATTTTTTCAAATTAAAAATGTATGACATCTCCCGTCAAATTTCAGTTTTAAAACTTTTATATTATATCATATTTACATATTTTTTTACAACCTATATAATGTATAACAGTTTCCCGTTAAATTACAATTATTTTTAAAAAGAACATAAAAAATAAATAAAATTTATAGATAAAACTATTGTATATTATTTTCTATATTTATTTAATGAATGAAATTTATTTTAGATGAATTTATTTTCTAATTTGTATTTAAAAATATAACTTAATTGTCATTTAAAACAGTACATTCAATTCTTTAACTTCAATTATCTGGTATGTCATAGATACATTTATTCTACCCGTGAATTTATTTCATGTACTCAGTTGGTTAATATTAATATAATTACAATATATAATCATTTATCAAATTTGAATTTCTCATTTATAAAAATAATTTTAAATTATTCTCGTTTATAAAAATGAACGCGTGTGTCTATTTATAAAAATATATGAAACTTATACTCTTTTATAAATATAATTGTATCAATACTTGAATTTTTCCGGTTTATAAAAATATTTATAATTTATTCATGTTTATAAAAATTATTATAATTTATTTTTGGTTTGTAAAATTAATTATATTAATATGTAGATTTTTTCTCGTTTATAAGTGTCTTTAACCCGTGTGACAATTTATAAAAACATTTTAACTTATTCATGTTAAAAACAATTACATCAATATTTGAATTTTGTTAGTTTATAAAAATATTTGTAAGTTATTTAAGTTTATAAAAATAATTATAAAAATAAATATTTACCATATCATCTTAAATTTATTTATTCAACTGTGATAAATATGTGTCTCTTAGTTAATTACATTTATAAATAAATATCGTGTATTAGTGATATATATTAAATTTATTATCTTAATGTCTAACTAATTAAAATAAATTTATTATTGTCAATCAAAAATTATAATATTAAATAATAATATAATATTATTATTATATACGGGAAAAAGAATAAATTAAATCTAAGAATATCGGAAAATTTATTATAATATTAAATAATAATTTAACATTTATTATTACAATGAATCATATATAACATTTTAAAATTATGTATTTATTTCTTATGTTTTATTATATTCGATTTGTAATAAATATTTTTCAGTTTATTGCGAATTTTCAATAATTAAATATTAATGATATTATATAAAGTTAATTTCATGAAATAAATTTATTTAATAAAGTGTTATATAAATATTTAATACATTATATTATACCATTAATTTATATAAAATAATATTAACTTATTCCTGTTTATAAAATTATTGTATCTTTTTTCCGGTTTATAAGCATGTTGAATTCGTGTGTCCATTATTAAGATATATGTAATTTACTATTATTGATATAAATAATTTTATAAATAGTTTAATTTATTATATTTATAAAATTATTTGTAATTTATTCACCTTTATAAAATTAATTATAAATTATTTAATTTATTAAAATGATTGTATCAATAATTTTTTATTTTATCATAAATTTTTATGATTATCATTTATCATTAAATTTTCATGATTACCATTTAATATTTTTTTATCATGATTACAACTATAAAGTTAATTTGAAAAGATTATGATATATTTTAGTTATTTCATAAACTTAAAAAAATTATCAAATCTCAATTGATTTTGTTTTGTTTTATTAACCTTTTTACAGAAATTGAAATAATTTATTTTAGGTCAAATAAGAATCTAAATAATTACAAAATAATATTTATTCTTACATTTATAGAATGATAAATTAAATATTTAAGATAAACATTAGAGTTCTTATTTACTTTATCTTTTATATATTTATAATATACTTTTTTTGTTAATTTTATTAACAATATATTTATAGTTAACAATACATCCTTTAAACTACGTTATTTTTTTCAAGAATATAAATGTAACCTTTCAAAAAATATACACAAATATATTTAGAAGTTGGTAGAAAATTTTATTGGTTAAATTATAATTCCATTCAAAATTTATTGATCATAAATTTTTGAAATCAAATCATGCATAAAAATAAAATGTATTAATGTGACCATTCAAAATATTTTCTATATATAATAAAAATAAATAATATTAATACCTCCATTCAAAAGATATATTTGTAAAGTTTTGATTTAATTTTTTTCATATCTTTATATATTTTAATGTATATAATATTCCTACAATATGAAACAGTATCAAACCTATAATATTAAAAGAGAATTCAAATTTTATTGATCATAATCTTTTATGGAATCAAATCATATATAAAAATTAAATATATTTATGTCACCATTCAAAATAATTTTCATATTAGTATAATAAAAATAAATGATAATAACGTCTCCATTCAAAAGATATATTGGTAAATAGGGATGTCAATGGGGCGGGGCGGGGCCGGGGGGACACTTCCCCATCTTTTTCCCCGCCATCAAATTCATTCCCCGTCCCCGATCTCCGTCACGGGGGAATTTCTATCCCCATCCCCGTTCCCCGCGGATCCCCGTTCCCTGCGGGATCCCCATAGATCCTACATTTATTCATTAATATTTTATTTTTTTAAAATGTTTATATTTTCTATAAAAATAAAAAACACAAAGAATTCACATATTTATTATGTTATTAAAAAATACTAGTATTTGACATTTATTATTTTTTATTAAAAATACTAATGGAACACAAAATAATAATATTTTTTTTATAAATTTCTATAAAATGCTATAAAATTCAACAAAATGAAACGCTTCAACTTTTTTAGGGTCTAATATTTACATTTCTCTCTCTTAATAAATACATGAATATTTATTTATTTATTTTTATAAATAAACATAAAGGAAATGACTAAAAAACCTAATCTAAAATATATATATTAAATTAACTATATTAAAATAATAGGCGGGGCGGGGTCCCCGCGGGGCGGGGGTGTATTCCCCGTCCCCGTCCCCGAAATGCTCTCAGGGGAATTTTTCTCCCCATCCCCGCCCCCACGGGGGAAAATTCCCCATCTTTGGGCCCCGAACGGGGCGTTCCCCGCGGGGATCCCCATTAACAGGTCCAAACTAACATCCCTATTGGTAAAGTATCGAATTAAATGGTACTCCAATATTTGATTAAAAAATTGCAATATTTATTTTTAATATTGTAATATTTGTTGGGCATGATAAAAAGTCACGCCATAAACTTTTCATGGGAGAAGGCCGGTGACAGCCCTGTCCATCATTGCACTGTCCATCATTGGACACAGTGAGTTTAGGAAGATCATTATTAAACCTGTTTTCACATGACAAAATTAAATCGCAATCAGCATAATTTCATTTTACGTATCAATGTATAAAAATTAAAAATTAAACTGTGAAACAATCCGTTATTCAATTTGTTAGATTGGTCCCCTACTGATTCAAGTGTGAAATCAATTATCAGCCTCCATATCCATACATATTCCAAAAGAAAACCGATTAAATCAAGAAAATAAATACAAAAATCTCAATTAGATACAAACAAATATAATAGTAAGCAAAATAAACAACAAAATTGATGAGAATTTACTGCCTTCTTTTATCAAAGATGTGATGGGAGAAATTGAAATTTAAATAGATCAATAATAAATTGAAAGAGGAACCAAAAGAAATAAGCTTCTATCTATTTGGAGAATCAATCGTAAATATATATGTGTGAGCTTTGTATTCACCAAGACTAAACAAATAAAAAAAAGCCAAAACTCAACCTCATATTTTAATTTAAAAAATTAAAAAAAATTGAGAAATAAAATCTGAATAAAAAAAAACATACCTAACAGCAAAAAAAAAAAAAAACAATATCATGGTTGTGTTGTTCGTCACATGCAAGCTCAAAAATCCCCTTCTGCAACTCTCAAACCTAAAGATAAAGATATCCCATTTTAGGTGTCAAGTTAAACTTTTTTTTTTTTGGAAAAGGAGAAATAGTAAGACAACCCTGAAAACGAAAAGAATACAACAGAAAATATGATATTCCGAACTACATTTCAGTTTCAACTTTCAATCACTCACCTTCGTCACTTACATATGTATGAATCAAATTAACGTTAAAAATTGCATTTGAAGAAAATTCTTTTATAGATCTATAACGGGTGTTGTTGGTTATTGATGTTGTTGAGATTCAGAGGTCTTGGTTGCGACCACCATTCTTACGCTTGAACGTCTGAAACAAATAAATTAACAGGTTAGGATGAGAATATTAGATGGTTGAGATTACAACGAAACGAAATTGGCAGCAACAAAGAGAGAAGAATGAAAAGAGATGGAGCGGCGCAGGAAGAAGATGAAATTAGGTAAGAAGATGAAATTAGGTTTTCTATGAACTCAACATTTATGATGGTTGTTCATCTTGTGCTGCCAATTTAAATCTTGCAACAAATTAATAAATCAAATAAATAAAAATAGTGTAAAATTATGATAGATTGACATGTCAGCAAAATTAAATGCCAAATGAATATGGTAACAACATAGTGTTGATTAGTCTATTATACCTTTGAAATAAGAAAAGTTATAACATCTAATCAAAATGTTAGACTTGGAATTTCCAGGTACTTTACTTTTTAATAGATAGATAATAGAGATAATAGATAATAGATAAATATAAAAAAATTGACTCTTTTCTTTCTTAGAGTGACACGTGGCTTCCTCACGTCTTAGCAAATGTTATGTTCCAAAAGCATCGTATTGTTTTCATTCTCCACTTCCAATTTCTCCACTAAACATGGTGGTTACGAAACATGACTATCATCTTCAATTCTTAATGACAATTTAATCAGCACGTTACAATATGCAGTTACCAATTACTATTCTATATTCTGCAACCATATGACGTTCTTCTTCATCTTATTTCTTTCGCATAGCCCTAACAATGAATAAGCTCTCTTTCTCTTTCCCTTCTTCAAAATTTTCATCTGAGTCTAACAATTCTGTCAAACCCTCCCAAACCTTCGATGATGATTCTTCCACCAAACACAATCTTCAAAAACAGTTAATCATCGAATTTGACCCTTTCAAACTCCAAACCCTAGACTCCAATCCCAAAACCCTAATTCCCCCAATCGAAAATCAATGGCGTGCACACCAAAAAATGAAGAATCTCGACCTTCCCATCACTGATTCTTCTTCATATTCCCTCACTTTTGAACTGGACATCTCTTCGATCTCTGATCAGCCTGATTCTGACAAGTCATTTTACGGTCCCAACCTCTGTCCCGGGAATTCCGAGAATAAGAAACAACTAGGTAATAGTGATGCGCTGAGGCCTAGAGTTTCAATTGAGGTTAAGAGAGAGAAAAAAATCAGTATTACTGGAAAGAAACTCGAGGGTGGATCGACTCGTGAAGTCTCGGACATCACTGTGTCACAGGTTAGTAAATTGCTGCAACATATTTCCAAATCTTTATCGAAAAATTTTATTTTATGAAAAAATGCAACATCAATGATAAGTATGTTTTGCATTTTTAACATTAAGGTTGATATAGAACTGTTGTTTGAGCTCCATGATCTAGAAAGTGGTGAGTTTCCGATCACTGAGAAGGTCGGCCGGAGTTCAAGCTGCAATCGAAATTGCAGGGATCGATTTAACAGGAAGAGATAGGCCATGTTTTCTAGAAGAATTTTTCGTTATTTTTACTGACCTCAAGTGCAATGTGGTAGCGGCCGAAGTTTGTAATCGCAAAATAACAACAACAATAGTATTTGGAACTGACACTTCTCTGCTGCATTTTCAAATGCAATGTTGTTGAGGTAACTTCTCTGCTGCATTTTCTATACTTACTGAGTTTATTGTTCATATCATATTTTTCGTTATTTCATATTCGCTACACTTTTTGCAATAATCCAGGTATATACCAACTACAACAACATCAGTATTTGGAACCGACACTGTGTTTGAATTTGTGCATTTGGATATATATGGTGATTTTGGTTTTTGAATGGCTTAACTTGAATTAGATGTGTGTACATGCCTCTGTCTCCACTGCATTTGGCTTAAACTGGAAGTCTTTTTGTGTGTAGGATTGTGTATGAAGTGATGGCTTCTTGTCGTATTGGCATTGAATTTGAATTGTGACTGGTTTAGCAGTGACTTGGTTATGAAATTGCATATATTGTGATTAAATGAATATTGTAAATAGTATATGGGGGAATATAATTTAATCTTGACAAGTTTTATATGCTTTATAAGCTTGGACTCTCATCTGGAATTGTTTGTTCTAAGCTGTGTTTGGAGGGACTTGTATTCTGATAGATTTTGGTGACTTTAAAACCTAGTTGAGTTAAGTTTGACTATGATATTTATGAACTTAAACTTTGATTGATAAATGTAGGCTTCCTGAAATTTCTAGATTCATAATTGAGATATAGGTTGTGGCTATGGTAGCTTTGGAGCACATCTCTTTGACAGTTAACTTTTGACTTTATGTATTGCCAATTACGAGCCTTCTGGTAGTCAAGTTTAGCTTACTCTTGAGCGAGGTCTTCCTGCTATGATTGCTTCTTTCACTTTAAAACAATTGTCATATCAGTCTCTGTTCTTCGATATGTTATATTGTGCAAGATGTGGCACTGATTGGGACCATAAAGGTATTTTAATATAGGATCTTTAATTTTTTTTATTTGGCTTCAGAACCATAAATTTGTTGTACGTAAAATATTGTGTTCTTATCGACGTCCATATTGTGTTGTATAGATGGCAATCTATTGATTGAAGCGGATAGACTTTTAAGACCAGGCGGATACTTTGTCTGGACATTACCACTTACCAATGCTCGTAATAAGGAGAATCAACAACAGGTAGAAGTTTGTGCACGACTTTATAGAAAATATCAGCTAGGAAATGTTATCACAGTAAGATGAAACTGTTGTATGGAAGAAAGCAAGTAAAAAGAGTTGTTATACTAAAAGATAATCCTGCTTTACATGTGTTTATGAGAAATTATTTCACGTTTGTGTAACCGTGGAAATTTTACTTCAAAAAAGGGGCATTGATTCTTAGCATCACCTATTTTTATCATCAGAAATCTTGGTTCTCGCCCTTTGTGTGGTAGAGGTATTGATGTGGAATCTCCATATTATCGCGAATTGCAAAATTGCATAGGAGGAACACGAAGCAGCCGTTAGGTTTCGATTGAAAAATGGGAAGAGTGGCCTTCTCAGGCTAATTTGAACAAGAATGAGCTAGCCATACATGGTAATTGTAATGTTCTTTGCGGAAGTGATTATACCGTAACGTTACCTTCTTAGTGACTAAACTTTTTGTATTGCTACTAGGATTGCTGTCTGATGAATTTGTTGAGGATTCTGACAGTTGGAAATCTGTTATTCAAAATTATTGGTCACTCCTTTCGCCTCTAATATTTTCTGATCATCTAAAGAGACCTGGTGACGAGGATCCTTCGCCATCTTACAACATGTTCAGAAATATCTAGACATTTCGGTGGCTTTAACTATGCATTATTTCAAGCAAGAAAGCCTGTGTGGGTAATGAATGTTGTCCCAATAAGTGGACTTAACTATCTTCCCTTTATCCAGGATCGTTGTTTTGTTGGCGTTTTGCATGATTGGTATTTTAATCTCCAATTTTAATATCCAATTTTAAACTATGAAGTAAGTATTCTTTTTAGGAATAACATTCTTCTTTTTCTCTGGTGAATGGTTCTATATAAAGATAGCATGATTTGGTTTCACGCAGGTCTACATTTGGAAGAGTAGGAAGCGGCACCAGTGGGATGATATGTATGGACATCACATAATCGAATACAGACATATCATTCATAAGCTCTGGGAGGCCAAACAGTATTTGTTTATCCTCTATTTACGATTACATAGACTTATGCTTGAACTTCACGAGTTTCTACCAGTTCAGGTCGTAGCTTTAGATCCAATCAGTTGAGACTCAAGTTCAATGAGCCCGGTTCACCAAATACCTCCTTTTCACTTGAAAGCGGTAGAACATCATGTTCATCTCACCTTGGTGAGTATTTCATTTTCTAACTAACGTGCACATGTGTATATGGGATGGGATCTCAAATCTCATTTGATTATGTATCAATTTCATGACAAACAAAATTAACTATACTTAGATACCTATATCAGAATATATGAATCCCTTCATTTATATCAAGAGCCTATACAAACCTTATCATCTAGAGATCAATTTTAATCATATTTCTAAACCCAACCAAGTAAAATCAAAGTATCCGATAATATTAATGGTATCCATATCTTATTGCTAAACCATTTAGGATGAGGCAGAAGCTGATATAAGGAGGCTAAAGCTTGAATAAAAACAAACTATGGATATGTACAATACATCGTATATAGCTCATTTTCATTTGATACTAACTAATTTTCATATGATACCAACTAATTTTCATTCTTGATAGTCCATTTAGTGTGAATTGTCTAAGTTAGAATGTTATATTGATGAAATTGTTAGGCAAAGAGGATCGAAAACGATGTATTTCTTATATGTATTTCATGGAAAAACATAATATTGTGTTTCATTTCTGAGATCCTTCAAATGAAAAATTGGACCTTAAAACCCCTACAAATCAGCCTTTGACAAAAGGATGTCAGGGAACCAAGTACCAAGGATCCCTTTTTCATCTGGTTTTATGTTGATGAGGAAATAGTTATTGCTCGAGGCCGAAGTGGAGGTACTGCATTTTGGTGCCGGTGTTGTCAGGTCGACAATTGATTCTTTTTAGCATCCTCTTAAGTGTCTTTTTATGATTTTCTGACTTATTAAAAAGAAAGATTCAAGTAGATAATTTTAAGCAGTTGAAATTCATTCATATGAGTAACTTTTTGTACATGTGTACTGTATAGCTTTATAATATATACAATCGAGAAACTGAAATATATATAGATACTTTCAAATTGACGTTTTCATATATATATATATATATATATATATATATATATATATATATATATATATATATATATATATATATATATATATATATATATTCTCATGATGTTTTGCTCATGCTGTAGAAATTCGCGTGGGGTCATTTGTGACTGAATGACTAACCAATTAAAGTGAAATTTGTGATGAATGTAGCAACCGTGATTTAGTATTTTATAGCAGTCATGAATCATGGTTTTTCAAATTGTTGTATGTTTGGTGAAAATTTTGCTTGCGTCTTTTTGTTTGATTGATCTAAAATAATGTAGTGTAAATGTATACATGTTTTTGTTACGTGCATTGAAGCTTGTTGTTATCTTAGTGTCGGTTAGAGAAAGATAAATAATAATTATACTTCTTTCAATCTCAAAAAGTCCAATTTCTTAAAATTATTTTGAATCTAATGAATCACTCACACCGACTTGAGTTGAGAGTTCAACTGAATACTGCATTCTTTGTTTGGAAGAGTAAGTTTTAGATTAAATTACAATTTAACATAAAGTATAAAACATTTGCACTTCATTTATTGGAAGAACAAAATTATTAAAAAAGATATATAGAATGAAAAGAAAATGAGATGAATTTTTTTTTTTTAATCTGCTTAAAGGAAATTTTAAAAAGAAAAATTAGGACATTTTTTAGTTTTATTGATTTTTATTATATTTTTTCATATTTATTAAAAATATATTTGTTTTTACTTTATATACGATTCTCCATTGTAATATATACATATATAGACTAATGATATCATCTTGTACTACGAAAGCAATATCAGTTCTATTGATAGATAGTACTCTCGTTTATAAAAAAAAAGTTCGTTTTTTAAATTTATTGAATAACTAATATATTTAATTTATATGTTATTTAAATATATTAATTATTAAATATATTTAAAAAATTAAATTTAAAATAAGACCGGTTGTAGTAATTAATTTTTCAAGAGATATATTGATTTCTCATTTCAAAATTTTAGTTCTGGAAAGTATATCATTTATGTTGGGGTCATATCCGTTTAAAGGAAAAATGACATTGCCAATGTGCTAGTTTTCTCAATTGGCACCTTGTCAATAATGTATCATATGGTTTCCATTTTGAAAGACAAGCCAAAAGGTAGGCATTTTCAATTTCTTAGAAGATAAAAATTTCCTTTAAAATATTTGAAATAGCTAGATAGAAAAATTATATCTATTTATAATATTTTAATTTTTTTTAAATATTAAATTATATTTTATCTTTGAAAACAAACGAATGTAACACATTAGTATCACGTGAATGCATGAGTAATCATATTAAAATTTATCCAAAAATACAAATTGTTATATTTTTTTATAAAATTAAAGAAAATAAAAATAAAAATAATATACTAGTTTAAACAGAGAGAAATGTGTTGTTTTTTAATTATTTATGTATTTAATATTTTTATTTTGAAATTATTTTTAATTTTAGATATAAAATTTATTAGATAATATATAGAAAAATCTTAGACTATTTTGATAAAATAATTTTTTTTTCCACACAAGCATCCGTGCGAACACATAGGTACTGATATAGTACGCATATGATATTGATATTAAACTATTGATTTAAATATTGAATAATAACGACAATGAATTTACTATTAATTTAATTATTTTTATAAATAATTTCAAAACAAAAATATTAATATATAAGAATAATTTTATTATTAATTAAAATATTTTTATATATAGAAGGAAATAGAAGAAAATATAGATATCAATTTATTTTTAATTTTAAAAATAATAAATTATTTTGATTAGATAATTTTGTCTTTTTTCTATTTTATTTTCTTATTATTTTATTATATTTTGAAAACAAAAGCATGTTTATCACACCAGAATATGTGTAAACACGGATAACACATTAATATTGTATCAACGCACGATTAATCATTCTAAAATACGTTTCACGCATATGATACTAATATTAAACTATTGATTTAAATATTTAATAATAATGGAAATCAGTTTATTATTGATTTAATATTTTTATAAATAATTCTGAAATAAAAATATTTATATATAAGAATAATTATACTGTTGATTCAGATATTTTTATATACTAGAGAAATTATAGAAAATGATTTATTATCTCTTTTAAAAATAGTAAATTATTTTGATTAGACAATTTTGTAAAACTGATTTATTATCTCTTTTAAATGGATTTATTATCTTTTTTTTATTTAAGATACAGTATTTTTTAGGATAATATATGAAAAATTATAATATATATTATTGATGTAAAACAAATTTTTTAATTTTTTGACAAAATTTTTGTTTTTATTTTAAAAATATGTCTTTCTTTTAAAAATAATTAATTATTTTAATAAATAATTTTATTTTTCTTATTTAATTTTTTATTATATTTTAAAAACAAAAGCAGTTTAGTGCACGATCATGATCGAATGGAAAATATATTGGAAATTGTTCAAAATATTGAATATTAACTGAAACATTAAATTATTGATCAAATTATTGAATATTAACAAAAATATAGAGTTATTAATTAAAATATTGAATATTAACGGAAACATGAAATTTTTGATCAAACTATTAAATATTAACCGGAACATAAAATTACTAATCAAAATATTGAATATATACGGGAACATGAAGTTATTAATTAAAATATTGAATATTAACGAAAATATTAAATTAGTGATCAAAATATTGAATATTATCGGGAATATAAAGTTATTAATCAAAATATTAAATATTATCGGAAATATAAAATTACTGATCAAAATATTGAATATTAACGGAAACATAAAATTACTAATCAAAATATTTAATAATAACGAAACATGAAATTACTGATCAAAATATTGAATAATAACAGGAACATGAAATTATTGATCAAAATATTGAATAGTAATAGAACAACTTTATTATTAGTTTAAATATTTTTGACAATAATTTTAAATAAAAAGTAATATTTTTATATAACATATAAACATATTATTAATTCAAATACTTTTATGTATTAAAATAATTATATACAGCAATTTATTATTTATTATTTTTAAATTATTTTAATTTATTATATTTTAGAAATAAATATACGTATAATATATATCAATATATGTGCGAACGGATATTTCATTAATTATATTTTAAAAACAAAAAAATTGGTATACAGGAAACGCAAAGGTATTCCCTAATTATTTAAAAAAAAACGCTAATTTTCGAACTTTCCCATATTTCAAGGCTGCATTTAATAATAAATAAACAAAAATCAGTCTGACTTTTCAATATTTATTGAAACCAATGGACAAGCAACACTTGATACGACAATTATTACTATTATTATTATAAAGTGAACACTCCGGTATCTGTATCTAAGAATATTTTGATACTCATTCAATTTCATTGATACATACATGATACCTAAGAATTTATCTTTATCTAACAAAAATTATTACTATTATTATTATAAAGTGAACACTCCGCTATCTATATTAATTTAAAAGGTATATTATTTTTGGGATTAAAATTGAAA